GTGCCATTTCAGCAGCCTCCTGGCCTGTCAGGGCCCCCCCTCTGCTTCATGGTCTGAGGGAACGTGTTCTTGCCTGCCTTGTTGCTGGGGGCTGGGCCATGGGGTCATTTAGTGCCAAACACAGAGCTGGGAGGGGTTTGGACACCCAGGACCTGAGGGTGCAGGCTGGGCGGGGCGCTGCAGCCAGCTCTGCCGAGGAGCCTGGTGGCTCCCAGCTGCCCCAGGGTCCAGAGGCCATGGCAGGCATGTGGCCCATGGTGGCGTTTGGGGCGGGAATCCCACTGCTTCAAGCCTTCGGTGCGAACACAACTGCCAAACCCACTGAGTACGCGCTGCTGCAGGGGAGGCCAGCCGCCCGCAGACGCCCGCTCGCGCCTGGCGGGCACATCTGCGTACACGGCCTGCCGGGCGGGGGCGCTGGGCCTCTGCGCTATGCTTCTGGGGGTCCTGGGCCAGGTGGATGTGAGTGCGAGACCAAAGTGGCTGGACCAGGCCCCCAGGAGCTCCCGAGACAACGCGCCGCCCCCGTCCTGGACGCTGTGGGCGTCGATAGGGCATCTGCAAGCAGCTCGGGTCCCACGCCGCCCTGACCCCATGGGGCAGCGGCGGGGACAGGCCCCGGGACCAGTTTCGCTTTCTCAGGATTTGTCAGCGGGAGCGTGCCAGCTGTGCAGACGCAGCCCCTCCTGGGGAGCCCGTGTTTCTGGAGCCTCTAAGCCAAAGAGTCCGTTGGCTGTGGTGGGGGCGGGGAGGCCCCACCTGGACCGGAGCGTGTGGGGTCCCTGCGCCCCGCCTGGCATCTGCGCACGCGTCGACTGCGGAAGCAGAATCGACTGCTGGGGTCACCGCGGCCAGGGCCGCAGGGGCGATGCGGCTCCCCGTTTACATTTAGCTGGGTGTTTACGTGTGTGAGTGGCAGTGGGGTCCCCGCCGGCCCCCACCCCGCGAGCCTGCTGTGTCACTTGGAGGAGGTGCTAGTCCTGGTCCCCGCACGCCCGCATGCCCCACACAGCTGCCCGCAGCCCGTCCCCGGAGCGAGCAGTGGTCCCGGCGGCCGCGTTCCTCTGTCCTCGGCCCCCTTCTCCATCCCCACCTCCCCCCGGTCGCTGTACAACTTTTTTATTCGTAAAGTCGTGTCCCCCACTCCAGCCCCCAACCTGGGATCAGTAACTTATTTGTCCGGCTTTGTGGAGGCTCCGCTGTGTTTGTCCTCAGGTGGGCTAGGGGTGTCTTTCAGAAATGGTTATTTTATATGATTTGTCATGGAATTTGTTCTAATAAATCATTCTATCACGTGGCAACACAGTAGCGCCCTCGCCTTGGCTTCGCTTCGCCGCCGGTGGTGGTCGTGGCGGGATGCTTGGTCCAAGGGGTCTCCCTTCTTGAGGCGGACACTGCCATGCAGAGACACCGCCACCAGGTGGCAGCCTGGGCGAGAAAGCGAAGCAGGGCAATGTCCTGATGCTCCTGCGGGAGAGGCCGCTTTACGCAGAGTTCAAGGTTGTGGTGTCCAGGAGCACCCCGCCCAGGCAGGCCGAGCACGCAGACCGCAGAGGGCGGGCAGGGCGCGGGCCCCCTGCCCCTCCCAGCGCCGCTCTCCGGCTGCTGTGGAGGGCCTGACCCCAACTCCGTGCTGACGTCACACTGCCCAGTGTCCACAGCGCTGCGTCTTCGAACTGAGGTGTTCGCATCCGCACCTCCAGAGACACGGTCCCTGAGGCACGGGGAACAAGTCTGGCTGGAGCAAGTGTCCAGCGTGCTGGGGGCTCACAGAGCTGGCCACCACCACAGAGGGCTCACTAGGTCACTTGACCAGCAAAACGGGAGTCACTTGTACCCCAGCACTGCCCGGAGCCAGCCCTGTCCCCACACCGGCGCTGTTCCCCATGCAGTCAGAGCTGGTCGGGCCCCCTGCTATGCAGCAGGGACCTTCGGGCAAAGGGGGAGATGGGGCCCTCTGCTGCTCCCTCCTGGCCTCGCCTCCCTGACCCCCGGTGGCCCCGCAGGGACTCAGTGCATCAAAACACAACTTTAAGTGAAAAGGAAAAATAGAAACTATACTTAGATTCAATAAGTAACTTGTATCCAAAGTACATGAGAACTACCACAAGCCAGAAAAAGACGGGTGACCCGATAAAAATGGGCAAAGGACTTGAACGGTTCACAGAAGGAGGTCGTCCCAGTGGTCAGACCACCAGTCAGAAGAAGCTGCACATCATCTGGCTCAGAGTACAAATTAAAACCGTGACGCCCGCCAGAAACACTCAAGCCAGGGGCCCTGGAGGCAGGGCTGGTGAGAGGGGCCGTGTGCCGGTTTGGGGAACACTGCGGTATTTACTAGAGCTATGACACGCCTCCCTGAGACCCACACTTCTAGCTGCACACCTGGGAGAGTGCACACGAGCGCCCGAGGACAGGCACAGTGCTCGCAGCCCACAGTGGACGCAGCCCCGGCCACTCCTGGCCACCGACCGGCACGGAGCAATGGAGAGGCCACACCGGGTGCACGCACTGTGACCCCAGCGAGGGAGGGGTCGGCCCACCTGCTGGAGGCAGCCATCGCCTGAGGAGGTGGGGGGACCGGAGGGCGTGTGCACGGGGGCGCGGCGTGTGAAAATCCATCACATCGCACCCTCGAAAATCGGTGCCCTCCGCGTCGGCATCACAGCGGGGTGGAGGGGAAGGTGGCGAAGAACAGGAAGCGGACTTCTCGGCCTCGGGTCGTCCCTAACGGCCTCCCGGTGCCGGTCGCACGTCTGCGGCGGTGCCTTCCGTCTCGCTCCGGGGGTCAGTCGGTACCGGCTGCTTTTTCGGGCGGCCTGGGCTTTACCGGTTGCAGAATCGGTGCCCTCTGCGTCGGCATCACAGCGGGGTGGAGGGGAAGGTGGCGAAGAACAGGAAGCGGACTTCTCGGCCTCGGGTCGTCCCTAACGGCCTCCCGGTGCCGGTCGCACGTCTGCGGCGGTGCCTTCCGTCTCGCTCCGGGGGTCAGTCGGTACCGGCTGCTTTTTCGGGCGGCCTGGGCTTTACCGACTTTCCCGTTCTTTTCACAGAGCCAGCTTTCGGCTTCGAGGATTTTCTCCGTTACACGTTTCTGTTCCTCTAGTTTCTGCTCCGACTTTTTCTTCCTTTTTCCTGTTTTAGGGTCTTTTCTCCCTTCCTTTCCTTCTTCCTTTCTATTTCTCAAGATGGATGACAGGACTTCTTTTTTTCTGATATGCATTTCCTCCGAAACATGACTTTCGCTGACCCCGTAAAGCTTGGCATATTATGTTTTCATTTTCATTCCGGTAAAACAGTTCCTCGTGCCATTACAATTTCTTCCTTGGCTGGTGAATTAGTTCGATGTGTGTCGCAAAATAACCACGCGTTTGAGGATTTGCCGGGTATTCTTTTGTTATGGATTTATAGCCTGTTCCCACTGGGGTCAGGATATCTACTTAAAATGATTTCAGTCATTGGAAAGATATGGAGAATGCTCTACAGCCCAGAACATGAACAAGTTTGATAAATGTTCCCTGGGCTCTGGGAAAGAGTATGAACTCTTCCATGTTAATTCTGCGCTTACTGCCCGCGGCCACGCCCCCCGGAACGCGCCCGGTCCCGTCTGGTC